AGCTGTGAGCCCGGCTTCTGGCTGAGTGGTGCTGGACGATGAGAGCCCCGTGGGAGCACACTGACCACCAGGGGCAGCTCCTGCATTGAGCGTCTACCCCCTGGTGGTCAGTGCGCGTCATAGCGTTCCGCCATTCGGTCAATTCGCATATTAGGGTTTTATTATATAGGGTAGGATTCTTATAATAACCTTTTGAAGTTGGTACTTCTTATCCCCATTTTACAGATGAAAAGGCTGAGGCTTGTGAAATGTAACACTTAGATAGGGCGTGTCATTAGTAAGTGGTGGTCTTGGTATGCAGGCCCCAGACTTCCATTTTTTTGCTTGTTAGATCTCTTTACTTCTGCAATCAACTCTAACACACCTCTTGTGGGGGCATCATTGCTCAGTCCTACCACATGTCTCTCTGTATAGTCATTAGAGTGTAGGTTAAAACAGGAAAGGACGATTGTCAAGGTCCAAACATGGCATGTTCCAGTCATAGAGAAGGGAAGAAAGATAAAGAGTAAATAAATGAGAAAAACGAGGGGGTAGAAGAGATGAAAGTACAGAATTTGGAAAATTGGAAGGTGCTGACAGCAGTCTCTTGAGTTAGAAGCTGGACAATGCAGCGTACACCAGACCTCCTCCCTCACAGGCCCAGATGGATGCTGCCACTGCTAGCAATCACGTTACTTAAGAATAGGTTTGTATTATTAAGCCTAAAGAGAACAACTTTGTTGAGTGCAACTTTTGCCCTGTGGATATCTTATTTTCTGATTCATTATTACTGTTTCTGCTTACGGTGCTGCTTTATGTCTTTTTCGTAGACTTCTGAATACGAGTTAACATTCATTGTGGCCAGCATCATGCTAGACATTGCACATCTGTAGTCTCATTTATTTATTTATTTATTTAGAACAGTGATAGGCAGGCAGGTCCCTTTCCAAGTTTTGCAAAAGAGGACATGGAAACACCAAACTCATGTGCCCAGAGGTTTAAAGTCAGGACAGAGCTATGCAGGAGCCCATGCCATTAACTATTGCTAACTCAAATACTAAGCTTTCTCCAAGACTAATGCATTTTTCTATCCTTTAAATGCTGGTTTGTGAGCATTTCCAAACAAAGTTGGATTCTTTTTGTCAGGTTTTTAAAAAACAGATAAAGAACAGGATTCAGATTAATCTCCCAGCTTTCTGCTGTGTTGCAAGGTCACGCCTCTGAAGACATGTGAAGACACACAAGATGTTCTAGATTTAGTAGCAGTAGACGATTTATTTTTTATTTTTAATTTTTTTTAGTATTTAGTGCCCTACTGCTCCTTTTTTTAATCAAATAAATAACCATAATCACTGCTTACATCTCTACTCTGGAATCTTGCCTCTAAAACAGACATGCCTCATAGCCTGACATATTACACTGCTTCTGTTTTTTGATAGACTCTGAGCTTTATTTCCTTATGCCCGTATAAGCAGATGTTACACACATTTCATATACAGAGTCCAATGAGTAATGCATATTAGTTGGACTGTGGAAAAGTAAGTCTGATTGAGATAAGAATTTGCAGGTGAAATTTAGGATTTTCTTAGTTACTAGAAAATAGTTTTTGTGTTTTATTGCACACTCAGAAAACATTACCACTTCCTTCTTTCAGATTATGCCAGTTACCATTTTTATCTAAACTTTGTGTTCTTCCCATCTCTTTCTGAAGACAACAGCTAAAATTTGAGTGTTGCTGGTTTACATTTTAAATTTTATTTCATGCTTCTCTAGATTTTTTTTTAAAGAGTATGTAACTTCACGATGTCAGAAGCGAGTTTAGGCCCTGAGATCCATAAGCCATTGTTGGTCAGCAAAAGTAAATATTCTCCCCCGGTTTCTTAGGCCCTTATGTTATTTTACTAGAGGTCTGCACCCTTTCGCAGTCTGGGACCCCTCAGGGGATGTCCACCTGCTGGCTTAGGCGGGCCTAAGCTGGCAGTCGGATGTCCTTAGTGCTGTTGCGGAAGTGGGAGAGGCTCCTGCTACCACCGCTGTGTTGGCCAGCCATGAGCCGGCTTCTGGCTGAGCAGTGCTCCCCCTGTGGAAACGCACTGACCACCAAGAGGCAGCTCCTGTGTTGAGCGTCAGTGCGCATCATAGCAACCAATTGTTCCTGGTCATTCTGTCGTTAAGGTCAATTTGCATATTACCCTTTCATTATATAGGATAGCTGA